AAGATCCATATTTATATATATATATATATATATATATATATATATATATATATATATATATATATATATATATATATATATATATATATATATATATATATATATATATATATATATATATATATATATATATATATATATATATAATTAAGATAATAGTTTTGGCTTTTCTAAATCTCAAATCAGCATTATATTTGTGGTTTTCTAAATGGATAATAGTTTTGGGCTTTTCTAACTCAAATCACCATTATCATATAAATTTGTGCAAGTAATTGATAGCAAAATAAGGTAATCATCATATTTTCGAATTAACTAATTAGGAAATAAAGAACATACACATTTAATGCAATATCACATGTATATAAATACTAATAAATGACATCATAAAAGACAATAAATTTACTTAATAGACATATATATTTTCACAAAAATTTAACTTTTAAATTTGTCAATTAAATGTATATTTAAAAAAAATACTTCCTAAAAATAATATTTCGTTTAAAATTATATATAATAAAAAAATTTAGAATATATAAAATTTAAAGAATAATTATGAATTAATAATCATATTTTATCATTAAGTCTTATGGTTCCTGAAATATTTGTTATAAAAATTCTTGTAAAGACATTTCTTGAGATATATAAATTCTTATGGTTCTTGTAATATTTGTTTCCTTTTAAAAAAAGATATTAAAAATTGACTGTCATAAATTTGCAATAATTAACATACCATTTAAGACAAGTAACTGATGGCAAAATAAGGTAATCATCGTATCAACTTGCGCAAGTAATTGATAATAAAATAAGGGAAGATATTAATAAATGAATTAACTAATTAAAAGCCTTTACCAACAAGGTATATCTTTTCTAATACCATAATTTGGTTATAAAATTAAAGAATAATAAATAGTTTTGATTTTGATATATTGTAAATCTATAGAAATATATAATAATTATGTTTTATCACTTATATTTAATATAGAAATTTGTATTTAACCGATTTAATTTTAACATTAGTATTAGAAATATATACAAAAATGTTACACATATCATATTCTAACTCTGAATTATATACATAATTTATTATGTGATAAATTGTATAAAGTTCGATAATCACCCATAGCATTTAAAATAAAAGATAAGTTATTTCCAGATAATTTGTCTTCTTTCACGTTATTATAAATCCTAATTTCCATATAAATACAGCATGATTAGTTTATTAATATGTGTATAAACAACATAATGAAATCATGTTCAAGAAAATACCTATATAGACCGAAGATAAAATCTTAAAGATGAATGAAACATCACATTTGTTGAAGGCATTAGTCTCTGAAATTGCAGGATTAATCAAGAGCTGTGATGCCTCAAATGCATTGGTGATTTGGAGTTCACCTGCAGCGAATATATAGGTAAGTATATTATAATAATATTAACATCCACTTGAAAATAATATTATCTATTATTTTTTTTATAATTTAATAGATAAGAAAAGTTTATACCTCTAAATCTCCCGATCCTTACAAACCTGATTAGGTATATGGCTTTTCTTTCTTCTTCTTTACTGCAACCCTCATAGAGGATCTCACACAGCAGGAAACACGAGAGTCACTATTATTAAAAGTAGAATAAGTATTGAATTAATATGAACATGAAGGATCACTCAAAATAATAAACGTGAGATAAAAAAAAATTACTTGATGTCGCGAGGTGTAAACTTCACTGCGACTTGGATAGTTTCAAGCACTCCCAAGTCCATAACCTGACCAATCACATTTGCAAAAAAAATTTAAAAATTAGCGTTTCAGTTATTGAAAATATAATAAAATACATTGATGTAAAAATTACGAATGAGAAAATTTGGGTTGAGTGATCCACTCAAAACAGAGACGGAAAGTCTACCAAACTTAGGAACATGTTTTCATTCACAAGAAGAGATCTTGTGTTTTTGTACTATTGACGATACTCATTTTGTAGGAATGATCGGTNTAATAAAATACATTGATGTAAAAATTACGAATGAGAAAATTTGGGTTGAGTGATCCACTCAAAACAGAGACGGAAAGTCTACCAAACTTAGGAACATGTTTTCATTCACAAGAAGAGATCTTGTGTTTTTGTACTATTGACGATACTCATTTTGTAGGAATGATCGGTTGCTCGATAGGATCCGGTTGCAGGACTGAGGATATAATTATGAATGTGTCTCCATGCTTCAACAGGAAGAAGGTGTCCTTTATTTTCCATGTAAGTCTTCTTGCAAGAGGCATGGATTTTATTTGTAGCTAATGTAGCTGTGAATAGATTTGAGAAAACTTTGGCACTTTATGGGTTTTTATATAGCAGTAGGTTAGTCGATGGCTTCTAACTGACGCTTAAACAAAATCTTTAGTATATTCGGATCCAGTTTAGGAAATCCCTAGAGTTTTGATCAAGCAAAAATATTTAAAACTATATTGCTAACGAAAATTTACATATCTTAGCAATATTTACAATTCGTTTGGTACAGAAATCTTTATAATATCTACGATTTAAAGAAACAATATTTTTGAGTATTTATTATATAGAGATTCTTCATGGCCAAGCTAAACGATTTAATGCATTCTTAAGGATTTTAAATAATAGTCAGATTTTACTTTTACGCATAAAATCAGATAGTTAAACAGCTCGTAACGAATTTAGAATATACCATCGGAATCAAATTTTAAAGTGTCCGTGAGTTGTTAGTCAAAAACATTAAAAATAATTATTTATTAAATGTTTTCTAATTTAAATCTGAATTTTTAGAATATACTATAAGAATAAGATATTATCAAAAATAGCATTTTTGCGATTTTACTAATCTGTAAATGATATTAAAAATTTAGGTAGGGGTTGGATTTTTCGGGTTTTGGTGGCAAACAGTTCCCCTATTGTTATGGTTTAGTTTTAGGAATGTTGGGGTATAGATTTACATAATACTATAGTTAATGTTACCGAGGCGGTTTATTCCCTGTCATCTATTACACACTATTAATTTTGTTTCTCTAACATCTAAAATATTTAATGCGTATTTAATGAATTAAACAGAGAAAGGATCGCAAAATGATGTTCTTTGAATCGAGAAAACACAAAAGGTAAGTATTTAAATGGATTTCCTTTTTAGTAGTGTCGATGGTAAAAATAAATCAAAAAATAAATTCTAAAAATCAACCAATATAATCGTTAGAATTCTTCTGAGAAGGGCTGTGTGAGTGCCACGTGTCAAAGTGACTTCTCTTTTAATGTATAGGGGGATTTTTTAATTTTTAATTTTTTAAATCATTATGGTTAAGTTAAATCATGACCATAATTAATTTTAAATTGTTTATTTGTATTTGGAAAAAAATAAAATATTGTTTTTAAAAATAATTTAAATTAATTTTTTAAAAAAATAATAATTTGTAAAAAGTATAATTTTCTAATATTATTAGAAAAATAAATAAATTATATTAAATTAGTTTTGAAACTTTTTATATTTTAAATGCCAATATTTTACCAACTGCTTATTGAGAAAGCATTAGGGAACTTGCTAATACTCTACCAATGAAGCTCAGTGGCACTCCGTTCATTTTTCATCACTCGAACACTGAAAAATGAAAAGATATATGAAATCGGATTCATTAAATTCTAAGCTTTGATCTACAGTTCTAATTATAATTGTTTCTGATCCTACGTATAGATAATTATATAAAAATTCTAAAATTCTAAAATTCTAAAATTTCAAATAAATATAAAATCAATCTAATGTAAATTTTAAATTTGTCAATACTAAAGTCTTATCCTAGTGTGTAATTATTCCTTCTAGGGAGAAAAAAATGTTCTCTTTGTTATATAAGATACCATCATCTTTGATAAAAAAAAGCATACTATCATCAAAATTCTGTGTTAGGTAGACAAAATATATTTACATTACTTTCTAATATAGACAAAAAATTTGTATAAATAAAATATATGAAATAAAGTAAAAGTATAGACTATTTTGGGTATAGTAATAACATATTGATTAGTATTTGAACTGAAGGTCATTTAGTACAAAACTATAGATTAAAATAATACATTGTGTTTATAGTATATAGTTTTCATTTTTATTATAACATAATATATTTACTTTATATAAATAAATATGTATATTAATAAACAAAACATATTATATGAAAGTATCTTATATATTAAAAGAGAAGTCATGACTTCACTTCATGTGTGATATTTTAAAAATGGATCCTCTAATAGAATTTATGACATTACATTATTCAGTCATTAATAACATTCATTAGATTCACTAACAATATTTATTGGGCTTACTAGAAATTTTTATTGGGCTAATAAAAATTAGATGATCCATTGGATTTATAAATATTATAATAAAACACATGTTTAAATTAAATTTATATAATTTAATATTGTAATAGTATAAGTTAATTATTTATATATTTTTGATGTTAACTTTAAAAATTATATAGTTTATTTTTAAAAATAAAAAAAAATCATCATTTTCTAACAGTAATTAATCTATACTATATAATAATTAATCATCATTTTCGATATACACACCTTATATAATATATACCAATTTAGAAGTAAAAAATATATTTATATAAAAATAAATGAAAACAAATACTCGCGCAGTTGCGCGGGTTGAGATCTAGTGTTTATTAATTCTGAATTTGAATCACTTTTTCTAAAAAGAAACAGAAACAGATAAAAAAGAAAAGAAAATTAGAACTAAGCAGTATTTTAAATAACTAAAACGGATTCTTTCTTCCTTATATATTGTACATATCACACAAATATCATGAGCAATATTTTTTGTCATTTCTTTAATTTTTCTAATTGTGTTGGTTATGCCGTCTAAATTATCTTTCTTAATTTTTCATAAATTAAAACAAAACCGATCTTTATAAAAAAAAAATTGTTCACAGATCTTTTATAATATATAGTATCGTCTTTGTAGGTTGTCCTCTAAAAAAATAGGAATAACGGCAAATATGTGATAATGTGAACGAAAGCAAAATGTGGTCGTCAAGCTTCTTAGCTTGCTCTCACCATTTTTCTTTTCCTCCCAAGCCTTATCTATTGTCATCTGCTTCTTCCTCCTCTCATCATCAAAAGATCCTAACCTTCCTCTGTTTTACTCAAAATCCTTCGTCCACTTTCGGCATCAGTTTCAGCAAGAGACAAATGAATCTCTCGATTCTCACGCTCTTGTTCAATGGTGGGTTCTTGTTGGATAAAGCTAAATCCATTGTAGAGTCAGGACATCTTCTAAGATACACCGATTCCAAAGATGGCTTCACTCTTCTCGTACCCTCTTCTTGGACGAAGGTTAATTCCAAGTGCTAAGAGCACCCCCATTGAAGGTTCATGGGGGGGAGAGTTCACACGGAAATCAAGAAAAAAATAAGAAATAATAAAAATCTATGAATCCCTCTCTCTTAAATTTCACCGTGGTGAACCCCTCTCTCATGAGGTTCAACACGTGGCGGCTCAGGATTGGTCTAGATTTTTTTTTTTTTTTTTTTTTTTAAAAAATCAAAAAAAAATAGAAAATTTTTAATAATAAAAAAATGATTCAATGAACCCAAGAGGGAGTTCATTGATGTGGATGCCCTAAATAGCTGATAACATGATGAAACGCTTGTGTCTCATTAATATGTGAATTAGATCATAACCCGCCCGACTGGACGGGTATTTGTTTCTATGGTATATATAAACATTTTTAAAATTACAATTTAATGCTTCCAATTTTACTAAGTAATAGTATACTATTTAAACATCGTATTTCATCACTGTATTGTATAACAGGGGCGTCGGTAAAATGTTGTGACCCGTAAACATTTTAATAATAGTTTATAAAGTTTTTTTGGGTTAAATTTGGTGTAAATTTATATACACTAAATAATTTACTTAAACTTTTGAAGTTAATTTTTTAATGAAGAATTGGAAAGCTAGTATATCAGTGTAAAAAACTTATAACAATAGTCAATATAAATTATATAAATAAAATATATATTATTCTTGATTTATTTTAAATAAATTTAAAACACGAATACATATATGTATAAAGAATTTTCAGAAATAAAGTAATATCAATGATAGAAAAACCAAAAACAATAATAATGGTATTTTGGGCCGCAGTAATCTTTAATTTAATAAATAAGCCCATTAAGTTTATATGCTATCCATGTTTCCAATCAAATTTTTAAAATTTTCTTATTCATGTTTCCAAACACTTCATTTTTGTACTTCAGCTTTAATAGTATAGATGNTTTTCAGAAATAAAGTAATATCAATGATAGAAAAACCAAAAACAATAATAATGGTATTTTGGGCCGCAGTAATCTTTAATTTAATAAATAAGCCCATTAAGTTTATATGCTATCCATGTTTCCAATCAAATTTTTAAAATTTTCTTATTCATGTTTCCAAACACTTCATTTTTGTACTTCAGCTTTAATAGTATAGATGAATATCAAAGGTGGAGAAAGCAGGAGCCAATGCTTTATTTGAAGAACCAGAGAAACGAAGCAACAATATAGGAGTTGTGGTTAGTCCTGTCCGTATAAAAAGTCTTGTAGACTTTGGTACTCCTCAATTTGTAGCTGATAAGCTCATCAACGTAGAAAAGCGAAAGGTACTAAATATAAAACGACCTAATAAAAAAAAGATTTTCAAATTGAGGTGATGTTTTTTATCAGGAAAGCACAAAGGAAGTAGAAGTTGTATCAGTGGGAGAGAGATCAGGACATGTATATGAATTTGAATACAAAATTGATAGTACGAGAGGAGGAATCAAAAGGGTTTTCTCGGCTGCGGTTGTGAGCTCTAAGAAGCTTTATATACTGAACGTTGTTCATTCAGACAGTCCAGAGAATCCATTGGATTCAAGTACGAGAATGTTATTGGAACAAGTTCTTCACTCCTTTGATGCTCACCATCCAAATAATAGAATTTTATTGTTGGGCTCATTTGGTATTTCTGGGCTTATTCTTGAGTTTTAGGGCTACTAGCAATCCATTAAGCCTAAAAAGTTTGAGGTTTCTTTTATGACGAATAATATGGCAGACTAGTTGAACACTTCTTTCTTTTTCAATGTTTTTAACACTAGTCAAAACTGAACACAAACAATATGTTTAAAATGTTGGTGCAGTCAGTGTCAACCACTTTCACGCACATGCAAAGAGTATATTGTCCGTTTTTAGATGAAATTATCATATCCTTATTCTATTTTAATACAGTAAAACCTCTATAAATTTATAATGTTCGGACTTTAAATTTTTATTAATTTATAGAGATACTAATTTACAAAAATTTCATTTTTTAGATTTTTCTATTTTTATTTATAAATTAAGAAAATATTTTATTTTACCATATATAATTTTTTTTTGTCATCCATATATAAATTATTTAAATTTTAGAAATTTGATTTTTTATAGTTTTTTATTATCTTATTTGGTGTATATTTTAATGTTTTATAGTATTGTTATGTTGTTTTCGATATAATTTCACTAAATTATCAAAATATACTGAAATATTAAGAAAAATAGAGGTATTTTCATTGTGAATATAAAAACAACAATATAATATTTAGTTTGTACTTATAATATATATATATATATATATATATATATTATTAATTTATGATTTTAAGGCGACTATATATTTACATGGAAGTTTAAAAAAATTATTATCTTATTATTTTATCGATTTGCATCATATTTTACACTGGCCCAAATTGGGACCGTTAAAATTTATTAATTTATAGAAATTATTAATTTATCGAGTATTTATTTATAGAGGTTCTAATTTTACATGATTATTTCACCAGTTTATCTTTTCATTATAGTCATATCTCTAATTCACTCATTACTTTATAGATCTTTTTATAGTTTGTTTGTCTTTATTTTATTCTTTATTTATTTTCTAATAATTTTCTATATATTTATGAGTTTAAAACAAAACTAAAAAGAAATATTCCAGATTTCATCTAGTTTTGTGTGTTGATGAAGTGATATACAGTAGAACCTCTATAAATTAATACTCGATAAATTAATAATATCTATAAATTAATAAATTTCACCGGTCCCAACTTGGGCCGGTGTAAAATATGACACAAATCGATAAGATAATAATATTTTTAGAACTGTCATGTAAATATATGGTCCCCCATATACATATAAAATTACAGCAATAGAATGAATAAATTAAAATAATAAATTAATAATATAGCTATATATAATTTTATATATGTAAAATTTAACATTATATTGTTGGTTTTATATTTACTATAAAATACTTTTATTTTTTAAACATTTTAATATAATTTGATATAGTTAGTTAGGGTTTTATTTTTACTATAAAAATAATTTTTTTTTAAACATTTCAATATATTTTGATAATATTTAGTTAAATTATATCGAAAACCTTGTAACAATTCTATGAAACATAAAAATATACACTAAATAAGATAATAAAACAATATAAAAGTCAAATTTATAAAAATTTAAATAATATACATATGCTAAAAAATGATTTTATAAATAAAATCGGAAAAACATAGAAAAAATCTAAATAAGGAAACTTTTGTAAATTAATATCTCTATAAATTAATAAAATTTCAAAGTCCCAACATTATTAATTTATAGAGGTTTTACTGTAAGTAAAAATAGTATAAAAAGCTAAGGGCCACATTTATAGAAATTTGCTTTAAGCCTCTAAAATAATAAGGAAAACACTACATGTGTATATAACAATCAATTATCTGCAATATATGTGATATGTGATGAACAACTTTGCAAATAATGTTTTCATGATGCACCTCTCTTCATAACACATGGATTGATAGACGATTCTACATATACAACATCTTCAATGGACAATCTCTCTATGCATCACACAACCACATTGAACGGCTTTACTTGTAACATTCTGAAACTTCTGATAAATTTTGCATCCTATAATCTGCCAAAAAAAAATATTTTTAGAGAATCTAACACTATATATGGTGTATAAGCTTTAAAACTTAACTTGTACACCACATGGCTTACACCTTCTTTCTCATGTTTATGTAATGTATTCGACTGAGAGAAACAATGAATTAAAATATTGAAACTATATGCGTGGAACTTGAAAATGGATTATTTTTTCAAGTCAGCGATGATTTTGTAAAAAACAAATATTGTTATGTGGCGTATTTTACGTGTAATATATACAAAAGGAAAAATTAGTACAAATAATTAAATTTTTATTTCAACAATAGTTTATATTAAGGGTAATTTGTCGAATAAACAATATAAAGAAGAAATTTTTAAAAAAAATCATTCATTTGAAAATGTGAAAATTTGGTACACATTTAGACAATTCTCTCCTTTAAAGCATGTGAGTTTAAATTTTACCTTTAACTACATACTATTCTATTTTCGTGTGTATGTAGAATAGATATAAACACATAAAGATACTATCAAAATAGAATATAATATCATATAATATTGTCTAATTTAAAAATGAAACTGATCTATACTATATAAAAGTGTAATATAGTGTGGATCTAAAACTTAATCCCTTTCTTATTAAAAGAGAAGCAATCTCAAAAAGTAACCTTAATTTTGTAGTTTAATTACAGCACTGCCATTTAGATGATGTGTCAAACTCTTAGCACTTCTCAGTCATGTTATGGCAAAACCCTTTCATTACTAGCAAATTTACAAGTAATGCCACTGACCCAATAATTTCGTCCGACACAATTTCCTAATATGAAAATTGTTATGTACTCTTTCAAAGCGGTTATTTATTATAACATACCAACTCGATTCTCATTTTTTGGAACAGACCAACACGTTTCTTCAGTCTATTTGTACCTACGAAATGAACGTTTTGAGTTATTGTTCTACCAACGAAGACATGAAATATTTTCCTGTTCTTCCTATCTTTGACAAGTCAAAGGACATCAAACTATGTGTACCAAAATAAACGTTAGCCTATTGATTATTATTGGTTTTCTTTCAGCATATTTGAGAATATCAGAAGATAATAATTTTTTCCTATATTGTGACATGGCAAC